TCTGTAGTGCAATTTAAGATCAGGAATGGTAGGTGATACCATCCTGATGGGTTTGGGGTTTCGTTGTTGTTGTTTTTATCATTCAGGATTGTTTTAGCTGTCCTGAGTTTTTTGTGTTTCCACATGAAACCAAATTTTTCCTTTCAATATTTGTGAGGAATTGTGTTGGAATTTTGATGAGGACTGCATTGAATCTGTAGCAATGCTTCTTCGGTTTCTATTTTGTGGAATAATTTGACAGGCATTGGCATTAGTTGTCCTCTAAAGGACTGGTAGAATTCTGTGCTAAAACCACCTGGCCCTGGGATGTTTTTGGTTGGGAGACAGTTGATGACTGCTCTGTTTCTCTAGGAATTACAGGTCTGCTTAAATTGCTTATTTGATCTTGATTCAACTTTGGTAGGTGAATATATTAAGAAAACTATCTATTCCTTTTAGATTTTCCAATTTGATGAAGTACAGTTTTTAAAGTATAAATCCCCACAATTCTCCGGGTTTCCTTGATATCCATTGTTATGTCTCCATTTTCTTCTCTGATTTTGTTAATTTGGATCTTGTCTCATTACCTTTTAGTTAGTTTGGATAAGAGTTTGTTAATCTTGTTGATTTTGTCTCAAAGAACCAACTCTGTTTCATTGACTCTCTGTATTGTTCTCTTTGTTTCTATTTTATTGATTTCAACACCGAGTTTGGTTATTTCTTATGGTTATTTCATACCGTCTACTCCTTTTGGGTATGATGACATCTTTTTGTTCCAGAGCTTTCTGGTGTGCTGTTAAGTTAGTCATAGGAGATTGCTCCACTTTTTTAATGTAGGCCCTCAGTGCTGTGAACTTGCCTCTTAGAACTTCCTGCATTGTTACATAAGTTTGGGTGTGTTATTTATTTATTTTCATTTAATTCGAGAAAGGCTTTACTTTTTTTTTTTAAAAAAAATCTCTCATTCCATTATTTTTAAGTAATGAGTTATTAAGTACCCACGAATTTGTAAGCATCCTGTCATTTTTTGTTATGTTGTTGATGATAGCCAGTTTTCATCCATGGTGGTCAGATGGGTTTCAGGGTGTTATTTTAATTTTCATGTATCTGTTGAGACTCACTTTGAGTCTAAGTATATAGTCAGCTTTGGAGAAAGTTCCATGAGGTGCTGGGAAGAAAGTATATCCTTTTGTGTTTGGGTGAATAGTCTGTTAGTATCTATAGGTCCTTTTGGTTGACAGTATCTGTTAGCTTCAGCATTTCTCTGCTTAGTTTTTGTCTGGGTGATCTGTCTGTAGGCAACAGTGGGGTATTGAAGACATGCACTATGACTATGTGAGGGTCAGTATGCAATTCAATCTGTAGTAGTGTTTATTTTACAATCTCGGGTATCCTTGTGTGTGTGGCACAGACGTTAAGAATTATAATGTCCTCTTGTGTATTTTTCCTTTGAGTATGTAGTGTGGTTCCCTATCTCTTCTGATCACTTTTGGTTTGAAGTCTATTTTGTCAGATACTGAAATGATGATACTGGCTTGGTTTCTTAGGGACATTTGTATAGAGCATCCTTTTACCCTGAGGTGAGATTCATCTTTAATATTACAGTATGTTTCTTGGATGCAGTAGAAGGATGGATCCTGTTTTGTGTTTGATATGTTAGTTGGTGTCTTTTATTGATGTTGAGAGCTATCGATGAACATTGTTGATTCTTGTTATTTTGTTGTGGTGTGGGTTCCTCCCTCTTCCTTTTGATTTGATGGCCTGGGATTATTTATTCCTTGTGTTTTCTTAGCTGTGGTTAACTTCTTTAGGTTGAAGTTTTCCTTCTAACACCTTCTGTAGGGCTGGCTTTGCAGATAGATACTGCTTGAATTTGGTTTTATCATGGAATATCTGTATCCTATTGTGATTGAAAGTTTTTCTGGGTATAGTAGTCTGTGCTGGCATCTGTCCAGGCCTTTCAGGCTTTTAGAGTCTCCATTAAAAAGTCAGTTGAGCTGGGTGGGAGTGGCACATGCCTTTAATGCCAGCACTCAGGAGGCAGAAGTAGGCAGATCTCTGTGAGTTCAAGGCCAGCCTGGTCTACTGAGTTCCAGGACAGCCAGTGCTATATAGACGAACTCTGTCTGGAAAGACAACAACAAAAACAAAAAGTCAGGTGTTGTTTTAATAGGTCTGACTTTATATGTTAATTGGTCTTTTCCTCTTGCAGCTTTTAATATTTCTTTGTTCTTTATGTTTGGGATTTTGATTATTATGTACCAAGGTAAATTTCTTTTCTGGTCTAGTCTATTTGGTGTTCTTTACACTTCTTGTACCTTGATAGAATTTCCTTCTTTAGGTTATAGAAATTTTCTCCTATGATTTTGTTGAAAGTATTTTGTGCCTTTGACCTGGTTTTTTGTTTGTTTTGTTTTCTTCTCCTTCCTCTATTCCTATTTAGTCTTTTCAGAGTATCTAAGATTTCCTGGATGTTTTGTGCCTGGAGCATTTTTGGATTTTCTTTGTCTGAGATATCCATTTCTCCTATCTTGTCTTCAATGAATGAGATTCTCTGTTCCATTTCTTGTACTCTGTTGGTGAGACTTGCCTCTGAGGTTCTTGTTCAAGTCCCTAAATTTTTCATTTCCAGTTTTCCCTCAGTTTGGGTTTTCTTTATTGGTTCTATTTCCACTTTTATGTCTTGAACTATTTTCTTCATTTCATTCTGCTGTTTGCATTTTCATAGATCACATTAATGGATTTATTCAAGGACCTGTAACATAGTCATAAAAGCTATTTTGAAGTCCTTGTCTTGAGCTTCAGCTATACTGCATTTCTCCGGGCCTACCATAGTAGGAATTCTGGACTGTAATTGAGACATTGTCCTGGATGTTATTAATTGTGTTTTTCATGCTGGCTTCTAAGAATCTGGGTCTAGCATGATGGCAATTTTAGTTGCTGATATCTGGTCTTGCCTTTGTTGGGTGAGTGTTCTGTTCTTTGGTTTTTCTTGCTCTCTCTGGTTCTCAGGAGGGTGTGGTAGCTGTCGGTTGCCTGGTAGAGAACTCAGGAGGGTATGGTAGCCTAGTAGAGAGTACTTTTGAGACCTGGTGGTGTGGCCACTAGGAGTTCCAGGTAGAATGTGTTTCTAGGTATGGGAGCTGACACTTCAGAACAGGGATGAGCTACAAGTGTGTGTGTGTGTGTGTGGGGGGGGTGGTGTGGTAAGGGATCAATGTGATGGAGGAAAGAAAGTTGTGTCACTAAGATTTGCACAGTCCCCTGGGAATGGAGGCAAAGGGGGAGGAGAAGGCACAGCAGGTGTTCTGCAACTTAAGGCTTATTTTCTAAGGGTCTCCACTTACCTGATTGTGTCCAACGGCACCATAAAAATGACTGTGTGCCTACAGGGTTCCTACTCGAGTGCAACACAGCCTGCTTATACAATTACTCCTGGTGTGGTGGCTCCCCCGCAGGCTCTACAGCAGGCAGGGAAAGAAAAAAGAAAAAAAGAGATCCATGATGAGACAAGATCAGCCAGATTTTATTGTAACCGGTGCTGTCCTTCTAGAGTCTGGCTGGCCCAGATCATTTTACTTTAGCCATATTTAAGCTCGGCACAATGTTCAAAAAGGTATTCAGATAAAAATTGACTCAGTCCCAGGTGTGCAACAGTGTAACACACGTTTATACTGGGATGCCTCATAGAGCACGTCTGGTTTCTTTTACAAGGTTGGGTACTGTTGACCCAGAGACCATGCCCAAGAGTTAGGGTCTGTGGTGTTTGACTGAGGTAAACATGGTGTCTCGACTGGCCTGCCCTAAGATAACACAGAAGAAACTTGTAAAACAAAAGTAACATCTCTGATAAGACTGGGTTTTATGGGGGCTGGAGAGGTAGCTCCCTGGTTAAGAGTATTGACTCCCAACCTCTTCTGGTATAAAGGTAGACAATCAGATAGAGCACTCAAATATATAAAATAAATAGATCTTTAAAAAATGGGTTTTATGTTCTAAAAGCAATGCTCAAGATTTAGGGGAGAAGGTCTTGGATAAGTAAAAACATAAATTCTGAGAGATAAGGCAGAGCTGGTCTCATCAGACAGCAAGGGATCACCAGGTTGTAAAACAAAGTCATTCCTAGGGTTCCGGGAAGAGCAGCTTCCGTACCTCATTCCATGAAGAGGCAGCTGTGTGTTCAACTTCCCTGGCTTCTCCCGGGCTCTTCTGTGTGCACAGGCCTCTCCCCCTCTACACCCCTGGTTCACACATATTATATAACAGCTGGTTAATGGTCTTAAAATATATTCAAATGAAGCGATCCATTCAATTACAGTTTGATTAAAATAATCCTAGCACTTGGCTGCCTGAGGCAAGAGGATCACAAGTTTCAAGCTAGCATGCACTATGGTTTCTATATTGAGATCTTGTCTCAAACAACAACAAAACAACTCAACAATTCTGTGTGTGTGTGTGTGTGTGTGTGTCTGTCTGTCTGTCTGTCTCTCTCTCTCTCTCTCTCTCTCTCTCTCTCTCTCTCTCTCTCTCTCTCTCTCTCTCTCTCTCTCTCTCTCTCTCTCTCTCTCTCTCTCTCTCTATCTCTGTGTGTGTGTGTGTGTTTGTCTGTCTGTCTATGTGTGCATATGGAATGAAAGTCTAATAGAACAGATCTTAACAGGGAGATGTGTCCATAATGCCATGCCGGGTGCCTTTGCTGTAGCCTGAGATGGCCCTGTACATCTCCTTGGTTAAGGAACTCTCTGTGCTGGAGCCCCTGGTGGCTCTCTCCTCCTCATGCACGTCACTTCCTTTCCTTTGTGACAACTTGTGTCATGTTCACAGCTCCTTACATTTATGTCACTTTGGCCTCAACTAGATCCTTGGAGCTGGCCCTGTCTGGGCTGACCTTTCTTCCAATTCCCAGAGTTCTTCAGGGTGATTTTGATAGACCAGGGCCAGGAGAGGACAGGAAGCACAAAGGTTTGTTTCTGAAGGATTTCTATCCAGCCCATGCCAATAAAAAGTTCTTCCAATTTCAGGAAGCAAGAGAGGAACTCAGAATAGTGGAAGACGGAGGGAAGGGCTGCATTGCCGGAGGTAAGCTGGGGGGGGGGGCAACCGTTGTGAACAGGTGGCTCTTAGTTACCCATGATACTTTGTAGGTAAAGCTGTGTCTGCTACCTACAACACATTCCGAACCCTGGGATAGGATCAGACAATAGGACCAAGTCTTGTGTCTCATTTCCAAAAAGTCAAAGTGGCATCGCATTGCCTGATTGGCCCCACAGTCTTCCAAGAGTAGTTATCTGAGGTCAAAAGTAAACCATTGTGGGGAGCTACTCAACACTACTTCAAGATTTCAGTACCACGCATAAAAGTAACTATGCTAAGGCTCACAAAAAGGGCTAACCTGCCTCCTCACTCACTGTCCAGGCTGGGTCCCGCTCTGGTTCTGTGATCTCAGTAAGGCACTTAACCTTCTGCTTTCTCTTTTGGAAATGTTGACTGAAAGATAACTATATTAGGCTGGGGACGTGGCTCAGTGGAAAGGGCATGTATTTAGCATGCATGAGGCCTTGAGTTTGCCCAACATCACATACAATGGGCCTGGTGGCTCACACACCTAATGGTGGCTCCCCAGAGGTAGGCAGGAAGCTTAGAAACTCAGGATGAGCCTTAGGTATATAGTGTGCTCACAGTTAACCTGGGGTATATGTGACCCTGTCTTCAACTCCACCCCAAACAAAACACAAACAAATAAAAACAAGCCCCCCCCCCCAAGAAAAACCAACCAACCAAACCTTATTGAAATAATACCATAGTCACAATCAGGGTATTAAGCTATGTTATCTGCAGTTTCAGCCCTCCAAATGCAAGGCAAGGCAGGTAAACAGTGGTTCCACAGCCTCAGAAAAATAGTGCAACTATTTACTACCAAGGGTTTGCTGTGACACCCTCATGTGACTCAATATTTACATAAAATCACATCCTATCAGGCTGATGGTTTGACAAGGTCCTGACTTGGTCATGTCACATGTCTGAGGGTCAAAGCTTTAAACCAAGTGTTGCCAAATTTAAAGCCAATGTCATTCGTGTTGCAAAGCTGTCACAGAGAAAACTGTCAGGATAGAGATTGTCCTAGAATGGCAAGGTTGTTGCCATGTTTACTAACACTCTTGGAATCAGTTGCTTTTCTTGGGGCTTTAGAATAATACCTGACAAAAGCCAGTATAGGAGGGAAGGTTTGTACCTTGACTATCCGTCGGTAGTGATGCAGAAGGCATGGCCAAGGCGAGACAGCATGAGGCAGCTGGTCCCCTGCATCCACAGCCAGGAAGCAGAGAGGCGATGCTGGTGCTCAGTCCACTTTCTGTGCATCTTATCTGGGACTCCAGCCCACGATGCCGCTGCCCACGTTTAGAGGGGGCACCCTAGGTCATCTGACTTCATCCAGGAGCTCCCTCACGGACGTGCCTGGGGTTGTGCTTCCATGATTCCAGATCCCATCAAGCTGACGAAGGACACTGTTGTTATCATCAGTGTTGTTACTCTAACTGTGGCAGCTGCTGCGGCTTTCACAGTCTTGATCAAATTGGGGCAGCAGAGGCGCACATTGGCAGTGGGCCTCATGAGATCCCACTGAAATGCCAAGAGGACTGCAGAGTCCTCTGACTCTGGGCCATCTTTAGTTCCCATGCACCACCGACACACTGAAGTACAAGTCCGTGTGCTCCTTTCAGCTTAGCGGATTCTCTTACTGTGTAAGCAAGCAAGTGCCATAGCTGCCTGTCAACTCAGACATTTAAATGAAATGCATTTATTTTTGTTTTTAAAGTGAAGCTAGGACATAGCAGCATTGGATGGAAATGGGCTTTGGGATGTTAACTGATTCCAATCAGATACTTTGTCTTCCCACAGAAACTGAGGTCTCAGAACCTCCCAAATCGCCTGTGAAGTTAGTTAACTTTCAGCAGAGTGAGAAGTAAGTCTCCCTCACAGCGGGTTTGGAGTCTTTCTCTTTCTCTTGGGTTGGATGTGAGTAAGTTCTTTGTCTTCTCTGCAGCACTTCGGCCAGTGAGAAGGAGGTGGAGGTGAGTTAGAGCAAATGGCCCCCTTCCCCCCCCTTTCCTCCTCTCTTCCCCACCCCCTTCCTTTCTTCTCTCCCCTCCCCCTCCCCTTCCCCTTTCCTCGTTCCTAACCTCTTCCCTCCCCTTCCTCTCCCCTCTCCCTCTTTTCTCTCCCTCCCTTTCTACCACTCTCCCTCTCTTTCTCCCCCCTGCCCGCCATCCTGCACTTGAGATGGTTTTGCACAAGCCCGTTACAAGGCTAAGTGCAGGCAAGGCTTCTGTGTTCTAGGTTTCCAGAGGAGAAGGGTGCCCCCACCACCCACCTCGCGTCCCCCCTGCCTGCCATGGGCCTCCTCTAACTTCTCTCCTTGTCCCCACACTGTTGTGGCCACAGGCAGAATTTCTCAGGCTATCTTTGGGACTGAAGTGTGACTGGTTTACTCTGGAGAAGAGAGTGAGGCTTGAAGAGAGGTCCCGGGACCTGGCAGAGGAAAACCTGAAGAAAGAAATCACCAACTGTTTAAAGCTTTTAGAGGTGAGAGAGAGAACGCTTGGGGACTGGGTAGTCACATGCATACCCCCTCCCTTTCCCAGTCCTCCCTTTTCCTTCCTGTTTTTGTCTTTGAGATGGACTCCTGGGGTATAGTTTATATAGTCCTGGCTGGACTGCACTGCTACTTAGTATTTATACCAGGTTGGCTTGAACTTAACGGCACCAAATGTTAGATTTCTGCTTAAAGGCTCGCTCTATGGAACATGAACCATGGAGAGCATAAAGAGAGTATTAGTCATAGAGTTCATTACGACGGGAGAGCTGCTCAGAGCAGCAAGTGCCCTTGTTGGCACCCTCCTGCCTTCATCCATCTCTGCAAAACCCACCTTTGAGTCTGGAAGCTGTGGGCTCAAGCCACACCTCTTGTTGTAAAATGTTTGATCAAATGACAGAATTTGCCCAGGCTGTTTTCCTGTTTTCTTCTCTGGGCCAGGATTGTTCTGAGGTCCCAGAGTGCAGCCTGCAGCCTGTGTTCAATAAACCTATGTTCCTTTTGATGAATGAGAAATATGGCACTGTGCTCCTCTATCGTCAGTACTGTGGGCTTCTCAGGCTGGGCTGAGAAGCAGCTCCCATTCTGCTTTGCCCACAGACACACACACACACAGAGACAGAGAGAGAGAGGAGAGAGAGGGGAGAGAGAGAGGAGAGAGAGAGGAGAGAGAGGGGAGGGGAGGGGAGGGAAGGGGAAGGGAGGGGAGGGGAGGCGAGGAGAGAGCTTGAGTGGGCAGGGTCTGTCTTTTAAAGGCGTCCTCTACACCTGCGTGCAGACTTAGTTCCCATGGAACCCTGGGCTGACCAGGGTACTGCCTGAGTGGATTCCGTCAGGTAACAGGGGCAGCCAGCATAATGCCTGAACCTTTCAGTAAGAGTTGTTTTCTTGGCCTTCTGATGCGTTCTGTAAATCTCTGTGTTTGTTCCAATACCATCCTCTTGAATTACTGAAGGTGCGTAGTATGTTCTTTAAAAATTATTTTACTATGCTTGTTTATTTTGTGTGTATGGGGGGCACATGCCACAGAGCACACATGTGAGTCCTAGTGTTTGACCTCAAGTCATTTATGCTGGCAACATGTGGTCTTACTGAGCCATCTCACCAGCTGTGTAGTATGCTGTAAAACCAGGAAGCAATGCTCCTATGATTTTGCCCATTCACTAAATTGCTTTATTCACTGTTCCTCGATAGATTACGTTTATTTTATGGAGGTTTTTTTGTACCAGGCTTTTTCTCTTGGGACACCAACCAGTTCCCAAATCATGACACAGAGACTTAGTATTAGTTATGGATGCTCAGCTTTATCTTACGCTCGTCTCTTGCTCTTATAACTTAACCTGTTTCTCTTCATCTGCATTTTGCCTCAGGATTTTTACCTTTTCTTTCTGTACATCCTACCTTTCCTGTTTCTTCTGTGTCTGTCTGTCCGGCCCTGGGCATGGCTTGCTCTTTCTCTCTCTTTCCCTCATTCTCTTTGTTCCTCCTTCTCTGCTATTTATTCTCTCTGCCTGCCAGTCCCGCCCATCCCTCTCTGTCTAGCTATTGGCTGTCAGCTTTTTATTAGACCAATCAGGTGCCTTAGGCAGGCTTGGTGAAACAGCAACGCATCTTTACATAGTTAAAATAAATGCATCAGAAACAAATGTAACACACCTCCACACAGTTAGTGTTGAGCATGATATTGTTGAAATTTTGATAATAAATTGCCACAAAATCTATAGATTGCTTGGGTCATTGAGTCTATCAATCCATGAATGCAGGATGTCTTTCCATTTGTGTCTTTGTTTTATAGATTTCAAGGTATAAGTCTTCTACCTCCTTGCTTTGGTTTATTTCTGAGTATTATATTCTTTGTGATACTATTTTAATTTTTTTTAGTTTATTATTTTAAAAAGTGTCAGTACACAGACACACAACTGATCCTTGTGTTACTTTGAATATTGTAATTTTTGCTGAGTGCATTAGTTTGAAAGTTTTGTTCTGCCTTTAGGGTATACTTCATATAAAAAAAATCACACTGTGGACAGAAGTATTTTTTTTTAACCTCTTAGCTTCTATTTGGGATTCTTTTAAAATCATTTTTCTTACCTAATTGCTTTGGTTATGAAACTAATGTCGATAATATGTTACATAAAAGTGAGGGTGTTGGTCCCTGGCTTCTTCTAGTCATAAAGGGAGGGGCCATTTTCTGCCATTGACTCTTGACATTTACTGTGGGTTTCTGAACCATGACTTCTATTATGTTGAAGTAATTTCTTCCTATTCCTGTAGTGCTTTCAAAATGTTTTTAATAATCACAGACTCGTCTTTCCAGATGCTTTCTGATTCTTTTGCTATAAATGTATGCTCTTTGTCTTTTCTGCTAATGTGGTGTAATATCTCAAAGGAGTCTCAAGTATGGAACTAACGTTGTATCCTAGCAATAAATTCCACCTGATCATGATATACTGAATTCAGTACTTCCCTGAAGACTTAGCATTAGAATTCTTCAGGGTTTTTTTTTTTTAGTAATCTTTTCTTGCAACATCTGTTCAACCTTAGTATTGAGGGAATGAGCTCTCGTAGAATGGCCTTGGAAATAATCTATCTTGTTGAGTGTTTGGGAAGGATTTTAAAGGTGTTGGTGTGAGTTTTTCTTTAGTGTTCTGTAGAATTCCTCAGGGAAGTCATTTGTCCCAGGCTTTTCTTTGTTGAAATGCTTCTATCACTCATTAAGTCTTGTCAAATTACATCATGTTTCTTTTGTAGTTAGCAAAATTCTGCTTTGCTTACAACTCATCTCCGTTCTTCCCTTCTCACCTGGCAAAGGCCATTTCTGTAGGCTAGCAACCTCTTTAGCTGCAACTTACACATATCTGTGTGTTTCAAATGTGGCTACCATATGTCTTTGTTTCAAATGTGGCTGCCATTCACTGTGCCTGTGTGATAACAAGGACTGGAGGCTGCTACATTGCATTGTCGGGATTATTAAGCAGTCTCCCATTTCTGGTGGTATGACTGGCAGAACTTCTTCTGAATGACAGCCACATGGTGGTGTGTTTCCCAGAGTTCATGGTGGTTTAGATTTGCACAGCCTTAGACCTTTGCTTAGTCACACAGGCAATGAGAAGTCACTTGATTGCTCTCAAGTCTGTTCTTCATTCCTGCTGGAAGGATGGCCTTGAAAGACATCATCGGGGTAAAGGGTGTGGGTTTGGGTGAGGAATAATAGCATATGCACCCACCTGGTCACACCTAGTCATAATGGTATCCATCATTCATTCTGACAAAAGCAATTTAGGGAAGAAATAATTTATTAGGGCTCAAAGTTTAAGTTCATATTTCATCAAGGCCAGAAGGCCTGGTGACAAGAACAACCCAAGTCATGATGTCAGGTGCATGAGGCAGCTGGTCACGTGGGATCCAGTCAAGAAGTAGACAAAGATGAAGACCTCTGTTCAATTGGTGTCTTAGTTACTGTTTTGTTGTGTTAAGACACCCCGACCAAGGTAATTTATAAAATTTACTGTGACTCACTGTTTCAGAGGGTGAGTCCCTTGACATGGTGGCAGGCAGCGTGCATGGCGCTGGGGCAGTGGCTGAGGGCTCACACCTGATCCTCAAGGACGAGGCAGAGTTACCTGGGAATGTGTGGGCTTTTGAAACCTCAAAGCTCTCCCCCAGTGACCCTCCTCCTCGAGCAAGGCCACACCTCCTAATCCTTCCCAGATAGTTCTACCAACTGAGGACCAAGTATTCAAATGTATGAGCCAATGGGGGCCATTTTCATCGAGGCCACCACAGCAGGCCCCTTTCATTCAGTCAGGAACCTCAGGCAAACAATGGCTCCCCACACTCAGGGGTGGTCTTCCTCCTCTCTGGAAGCGCTACCACAGACACACCCACTGGTGTGTCTCCTAGGTGTTTCTAAAATCAATCTCAAACCAGTCCAAATTATTGTGATTCTCCTCTAAAAATGCCATTTTGTCTTCATGTAACACATTCCGCTTACGGGCATTGTCTGTCTATCTGCATCTTGTCTTGTGAGCCATGGAGGAAAGTCCTGAGTGCACATGGGGATGACTAGGCTTGTGTTCCTGTGACCCCGACACAATGTTTTTATGCCCTTCACTGCCGGGCTTGGGTGGCGCTTTTTGCCCTCTGTCTATTGGTATGCTTAGATCCACAAGCGGTTGGTTTAGCCGGTGTGAAGAACACTGTTGGGTGTGTTTTAACCCTTCACTCTCCATGCAGTCGTTAGCACCTCTGTGTGAAGATGACAACCAGGCTCAGGAGATCATTAAGAAGCTGGAGAAGAGCATAGCGTTTCTCAGCCAGTGCACAACACGCGTGGCCAGCAGGGCGGAGATGCTGGGGGCCATCAATCAGGTAACGGTGATGCTGAGAGGAGTTGTGCTCCCACAGAGTGTGGTGGGCTCATTTCCCAAGACTGCATTTTCAGAACACTTCTGTGCACCCAGGGGTTGGGTAGCCTTTAAACCTAGCACTCGGGATGTAGAGGCAGGTGGGTCTGTGGGAGTTCAAACCCAGCTTGGTTTAGACTGAGTTTCAGGCCAGCCAGCGATGCTTAGTGAGAAAGGGAGGGAAAGAGGCAGACTTGGGGCAGGGGTCGGCTGACTCAGAGAGGGAGGCTCAGCCCGTTATAGGGTCTGTGTTGTGGGTTTTTGGGAGGTTTATGCCGAGGGAGAGATGTAAGCCCCTTTCCCAAATCACAGGCCAGCTTTCCTTTTTAGGGTATTTCTTTCTTCTCTTCTTGAAAAACCCATGAAAGGTTTTTTGTTTGGTTGGTTTTTGGTTTTTGGTTTTTTTTTTTTTTTTGTTTTTTTTTACTTCCATGGAGGGCGTCAAAACCACAACACAAATGATATACTAACAAACCAGGAAACTCCGAGGGCACAAACATGCATCCGTGCACATGTGTGGTGGTTGGGAAAGGGCCCTGGTGCCTTAGTCACTGACACAGCAGGAGTGTCTGACCTGCAAGGGGTGTCTTTGCCTCTGGAGAGACAGTGCCGACTGCAGCGTCCTTTGTCACCTCCATCTGTCTGCTTTCATTTGCCTGTTACACACAGTCATAAAAAAGTAGAATTTCAAACGTTCATCATGAACAGTTCCATGGAGACTTCTTAAAATCTACGGTAGACAGACAGGCTAAAGCATTTCCTTAGGAAGATATTTAATGGGCTGGAGGCTGTAGTCTGACGTTTGTTACATATTCCAGCTTTTTCAAGCCTTCAGTGGGGGTACTGTTGATCTTTACTTGGACTGAAGTTAAATGAGCTCAAGGCTTTAAAAACCCAAGTCAGCCGCCCACCCTGCCGTTAGTTTTGTGTCTGCATCCATGTTCTTCATTCCACGCTTACAGGGCCACGTAGTGACCTGTTTTCGCGTTTAAGCATCCCTAGCTTTCTTGCTATGATGATGAACATGTAACATTTTTGTCGGTCTCTGCTTCCTCACACCCTTCCCCCACCCGATTGTCTCTCATCTTCTTTCCTGACCAAGCTTTAAAGTATACAATCAGATCCGGTGTTCTCCACCGCATGAGCCTTCTGCTCTCCGTCTTCCATGTCTCAAACCTTTTCTCTCCCAGCCGTGTCAGAGTGGAGAATAGTCACCCTTGCTGACTGAGCTCTTCATGTAATCCCAGGTTTCATGTGGGGCCTGGGAGCCTACTGTCCCTTCTCATTCATCTTTGCAGCTTGTCCTCAAGCCACCACAGAGTCTTTTGTTGTGTTCACTGTCAAATAGTGACTTTGTCACCAAGAAAACTGATGTGGAGGGAGGGAGCTACCCCAACCTTGAACCTGCCACCAGAATCCACATCTGCTGCCCTTCTCGCCACAAATATAGACAGTCACTCTCTTGCACTGTGTAAGGGCAGCCTGAAAACAGTCACTCTCCTGCACTGTCTAAGGGCAACCGTCTTGCCTGAAAACAAAATACCATCCTTTCCCAGTTTACCCAGAAACACGAGCCTAAATTCTGCCAGCTGAAATTCCCCCTTTTTAGTTCTTCCTAGTCTGTGGAACCATTCCCACCAATGCAGGTACATACTGATTTTAAGATATGGGGGGGGTGGCAGAGGTGGCACAAACCCACCTCCTCATTGAAAAAGAATAGATACAAACAGTAGAAACCGGGCTGAGTGGCCCCATGCATCTCCCAGCACCTGGGAACTAACAGATGACTGTATTCCAAACACTGGCCTGAGCTGCATGGTGAGAGATACTGCCTTCAAAATCAAAGATCCCACCCGATGTTGGTGGCACACGCCTTTAATCCCAGCACTCTGGAAGCAGAGGCAGGGGGATCTCTATGAGGTTAAGACCAGCCTGGTCTACAGAGCTAGCTCCAGGACAGCCTCCAAAGCCACAGAGAAACCCTGTCACACAAAAACAAAAAATAATTTAAAAAAAATCAAAGATCCCTTTCTTGCTTTCCTTCCCCACGGCAAACCCCTGCTTTCTTTGGCTACCTACCATCTTGCTTTTCTGTTTCTTTGTTCTAGATCAAGTTTCTCAAGGGACTGACTCTCATGTCCAGTGTCTGTCCTCTAGAATTCTCTTAAACCTCGTCAACCCTATGCCTCTGCCATCAATCATTCCATCTACCACCTGCCCACACACTCCAAGGTCAGCGCTGCCTCTAAGAACTCAGCCTTCCCAGAGCCAACCCCCTGGCTTTTCCAGTCCATCCAGGCTGTTGGATGGCCCCGCCCGCCCCCTCTCTCAGACCTCTCAGAACTGAAGATCTGACAATCCCCACTCCGCCTTCTGGTTACCTCTCACTATCTCTACCCACTCATTCACAGAACCCAAGGTGACTCTCAGGTGACGAGCTTCCCTGAATCCTCTGTCTCACGGTTCTGATGGACCTGGTGTTTCTTCCCGATGCCTGGCACATTCTGTACTTAGCATTCTCATAGCCAAGGGGGCCTCTGAACCCTCTCCCCACCTATCGCCTCCCTCAGCCCTGGTGGCTCGGGCCAGGCCAGAACTCTCCATACTCCTACCTCCTCCTGCATCAGTTGTTTGTTAAAGAGTGCATCGTTGTTCTACCGTCAGACCAGCAAGAGAGGATAGCCGTGATTTCTGTCAGCACAACTAGCAACTGCACCTAAGTCACCCCCTCCCTCTCTACTGGACTAGCACAATGGCTTCCAGAATGGCCCTGCTTATGTCAAATCCTAGTCCTTCCAAGACTACTCTTTGACAAGCAGCTTGTGAGTGTATGTACCTGGGTGTGTGTGGTGTGGTGTGTGTGTGTGTGTGGTGCCTGCTTGTTGCAGTGTCAGTGCAGAGGTCAGAGGGTAGCTTTGGAAGAGCTGGCTTTCTCCTACAGTGTGGGTTGAAGGGATGGGACTCAGGCTGTCGGGGTTGCACACAGATGCTTTTACTCGCTGAGCCACCTGCCAGCCCTGAATGTCTGTTTTAACGGTGCATTGAGGACAGTGTTGCTAATGGAAGCTGGCTCCCGTAGGAAAGCCGGGTGAGTAAAGCGGTGGAAGTGATGATTCAGCATGTAGAGAACCTGAAGAGGATGTATGCCAAAGAGCACGCCGAGCTGGGGGAGCTGAAGCAGGCTCTGCTGCAGAACGAGAGGTCCTTCAGCCCTCTGGAAGATGAAGGTAACAGTGATGCGCTACAAAGCAGTTAAGAGCACATGCTACTCACACTTAGTTCCCAGCAACCATGTCCCCTGGTTTATAGCAGCCTGCAGCTCCAGCTCTAGGGGATGCCCTCTACTGGCCTCCATGGGCATCTACACCCATATGCAAGTCTCTCTCTCAATCTCTCTCTCTCTCTCTCTCTCACACACACACACACACACATAGTTTCTTTTAGTTTAGTTTTGGATTTGTTTGTGTTTTGAGATAGGATCTTTCCATGTAGCTCTGGCTGTCCTTGAACTCCCTATGTGGATGCAGGCTGGCCTAGAACTTAGCGATCCACTTGCCTCTGTCTCCCATGTGCTGGGATTAAAGCTGTGCACCACCATGCCTTGCTTACATAGATTGTTTTTGGAAAGTTATGCTTCCCTAACAGTCTCCCCTTTCTTTCTCCTTACTGCCTTGCTGCATCATGGAATAAGATCCTCATGTTAAGGTCATATTAGAAAAGTGTCTCATTCTTGGGTTTTATATAAAATATCAGGGGAAAAAAACAGCAACAGAGGATCCTTTGGTAATGTCCTCAAAAATTCATTAAGTCAATTTAGATTACAGAGACAAGGTACTTACTTAGTCGAACACCTGAGTCTAGCCAGTGTGTTAGAGCTGGTTCTTCCTTCACATACAATAATGTGTAATACATGAACCAGCCATCGTTTGGGATTCTTGAAGGATCCTAGCACAGTAAGCTGCCTGGCAAATTGAAGACAGATGACAGCATGTGGTATCTGGGAATCTTAGTTTTTTTTTAAGGTTTATTCCTTTTTTAAAATTCTATGGGTGTCAATGCTTGTTTGTATGTGCATGCCATGCCCACAGAGGCCAGGAGAGAACACTTGATCTTCTGGAACTGGACTTTAAGACAGTTGTGAGCTGTCACATGGGAGTGGGGCCACCTCTCCAGCCCGCAATGGTTTTGAGTAAACAGTATGAGCTTTTCTGAACAGAGTTCTCACTTTAGCACTGTTCCCTCTTTTGAACAGCAGCAATGTTTGACATCCTACTGCATGCTAGCAGCACTGTGGACAACTGTAAAGACATTAAGGCCTGTATCTTAGTGGTTTATATGGGGATTGTTGGGGCTGGAGATGTAGCCCAGTGGTCGAGTGCTTGCCAATGTAAAAGCCCCTTAGCTCAGGCCTTAGTACCACAAAATAGAATAAAATAAACATATTTATCTTGCTCAGTGGTTCCTAGAGTCTTTTGCTTTTAGCTTCTTGAAACAGTGTCATGCTGTAGCCAAGGCTGGCATTGAACTCATGGCAATCCTCCTGTCTTGGTCTCCTCCAGAGTCTTTTGTAAACCTTTTTGATCTTCACCTGACAAAAATGCATGTGTGGTTTTAGAACGTGTGGGGCCACTGCTGTGGCTCCGTGGCTAAGCTGCTCTTGCAGTCCCAGCACCTACATGGTGGCTCACAACTGTCCAACTCCAGTGCCAGGGGATCTGATGTGGGGCGCAGACGTACATGCAGGGAAAACATATGAGAATTCGCAGAAAAATTTTAACATGAAAATGTTTTCCTTTTAGATGACTGTCAGATTAAAAAACGTTCGTCTTCTCTAAATTCCAAGGTAATTACTGATTTCATCACTGACAAATGTTGACAAAATGCTCATGAAATGATAAGATAGTACTTGCAGTTTTGTGCCTTTTTACTGAAAAATTACAAAACAGATTTAAATTCTCATGCAGACGTATGTGTATCTGTCTGTACACAGTTTATGAGGTGCACCTTTCTGTTTCCTGTTGTGTGTCAATCAAAATGGCCCAACAGCACAAGGAAAGCCAGTGTAGCCGCCTTTTGTCTCACTCTTTAAACCAAGGTTGAGTCCAGGCCAGCAGACAATGGCAGAGCAGATTCTCAAGATCCTACAGACACATTTCCTCTCCCCACAACAGCCCCCCCCCAGGCCTAACAACTCCACTTCAGAGCCAGGCTGCATCCTTACTGGAAAGCCGGGTCACAAAGCAAGAGAAGGCCCTGTCACTGCCCTGGGCAGAGCAGCCCTGGAGTCTCCCACAACATATCCCCACTTTGTTCTTGGTGGGAAGTGAGACGGGGACAGCCAGCCTTTTTCCTGGGTGTCTCCAGGCCTATCTAAAGAACCACAGTCTTAATTGCTGAGCAAGAAAGCAGGATGAAGGTAGCAAAGCCCACAGGATGGGGCCTTGGTGGGAGGTCCCTGCAGATGCTCACAGCAAGGCGTCCCTCATTAATACCACCCCAGTTAGTTTAATACAGCTGAGGTGATAATGGACACTAAGCATGATAATTCTTTCAATTGTTTTTATTCCTGAGGGGTATTTATCTACACTACACAATACTATACAATACTCCCCTATGCGAATGTCAGACCAATAAACAGATTTGTTAAAATATATCATCTCACTCATGATGAAGTCTCAAAAGTTGGTCACCCTAAGTCATGCCAAGCCCGAGACCAGAGGACTTCCTGTATTACATAGTGAGTTTATAGAATGGTGGCTACCCCCAGCTGAGGGAGAGCCTGTGGCAAGCCTGGGGCCTGTTGCTTAGCAGATGACTAGAAGTAACAGCAGCATGGGAAAGAAGTTCTCAATAGCTTATTGTAACATCTGAGGAGAGGGAGACGTTTAACCCAAGTGTGGGTGTCACACCACGTGAAAATGTATGTAACGAAGCCGCTAATTCCCTGCTAGTTTGTAGTTTCCCATTGTTACTAGTTAAAATGAGTTTAACCCAAGTTCCATGGACTTTAAGTGTATTGTAGGAGAAGCTGCCAGTGTGGTGAACCTTGACTTCCTCTTGAGCTCAGGTTTTCTCAGCATAGAGAAGTGAAGGCAACAAAAGAGAAGAAAAAAATGCATTTGGCTAATTACAGTGTAGTTCATCTTCTAGAAAAATATAGGTGGCGGTGGTCCTAAGTGTGAGCATGTTTCTCAGCGAAAATACGCAAATCATGCTTCAACAGCACAGGTGTTCGGGACAACCCAAAGACAGGTAAATGAAAACCCGGATGAGAAACATTCGTAGTTAGCAGAAGTTACAAATCCAAGGCTTGGGGAGACGGAATATGCAGTGGTAAATGGTTCCGAAAGGCGATTTTTCCATGCAAGGTCCTCGAGTGCTCACCTGCTGCTTGACAGTGGAGCATGGCTGTGAGCAGCATGGCTGAGGATGCCAACCCCTCACGGTTCTCTAACTGTACCCCTCTCTCCTGTGTAGCCATCGTCTCTTCGAAGAGTGACAATTGCCTCTTTACCCAGAAATCTCGGGAATATGGGGATGGTAAGTGTACTTGGAGGCCTCTGCCTCAGAAGTAAACTCGTGTGTCTTTGTGACAAAAATGTAATTCCTATCTCCCGGTTTCTCCATCCTCCAAAGGTGTACGGGATAGACAATAATGACAGGTTCAGCCGGCGGTCAAGTAGCTGGTAAGTGTGACTTGTGTCCACACTCTGGGAACCCATGGCAAGCGGAGAGTTGGTCTCAAGCTCATCAACTTGTATCATTTGATTTGTTCAGAGTGCGTGCCAGCGGCACAAATGCTACAGCTGGCATTCAGGTGTGGCGGCTGCATTGGGGCATGAGAGTTACCTGCGTTCACTTAAGCGGAAGGGGGCACCTGGTACAGCTCTGTTTAACCTGTGGCCGTTATCTTTGTGTAGGAGAATCCTGGGGACAAAGCCGAGCGAGCACCGCCCCTCGCTGCAACGGTTTATTAGCACCTATTCCTGGGCAGACACTGAAGATGACAAGTGTGATGAGAAGTAGGTGACCCTCGGTGTCTCTGTTAGCCTGATGTGACTGTGGCATGCAGAGTGGTGGTCGGGAGGAAAGACGGGCCGTGAACCACTTTATAAATGTCATTTGGGAACACCATGGTCCCTCTGGTTCCCAGTGTGGCAACATATTAAGTTAGAATTTCCCAGATCTAGGCATGCCCATCACCAGAGCCACAAAAGTCAAGTCTCCATCATTGTAGAGAACTAAAAGCAGACATGGAAACACAACATGTTTGCACAAGTAACACCCTTTGTGATGTGCAAAGCAGGGCCATCTCATCCTCTGCTTAGCATTGGTTGTCTTTTTGACAAGCAGGGGCTGCTGTGTATCCCTAGCTAGCTTCAAACTAACAGTGATCCTCCTGTCTCAGCCTCCTGAATGTTGGCATTACAGTGTCACCGCCATGTCTAGAGTATGTTTAGCAAATCTCATGGGTTAAAATGTGTGCTATGCTTCCATCGTGAAGATGGGTGTGACACGGCACTGCCTCCCCTCGTTCCATGTCACTTGGTCTGTTTTGTCACCTGTTAAAAGCAGCTCCCACTCAGGCCTCTCATTTAAACTTGCTAGGTCTAAAGCACTGGGAAGACATGACATAGGCATCTCGCACATCCCGGGATCCCGTGGCATGTGCTCCCCGTGTAGTCAGGGTGATGGATCTGAGCTACATGGGAAAAAGCCAAGTGCTTCCTGCAAAGACTGTTCACTTATGGCTTCACTCAGTCTTTGTAAATAGAAGGCAGATTAAGGAGCTTGCAGAACAGTGCTCTCCTCATCCTTGGACCCTCTTCTCGGGCAATCATGGGTAGCATGAGCTAAGGATTCAAAATACATAGCCAGCCAGGAGCCATTAGTTATGAAAGTAAGTTTGCTTAGGTGGAGGGTGCCCTCTACTATTGGAGCCCTGGGAGCTGTCTAGACGGAGTGTGTTCTAAGTACTAGGTACTGGTTTGTTTTCGATAGCTTCGAATTCAGAATAATTTCATATGCTTTTCAAATTAAGACGTTTAGAGGAATGACAGTTTGACTGTACTCCAAGTCAGCATCAATCATCCAGAACACTGAGAATGCCTGGGTGCCTGCTCTCAGGAGGCAAAGACAGCAGGATCACTCCAAGTGTGAGGTCAGCCAGGGCTAACCATGAGACCCCATCTCAAAACTAAGAAAAGGCTTTACCAGAGAACAGGCACAATCCACTGCTTACAGAAGACGTTAAAGTAGGATAATAAAGTCGTCTACCACCATTTCATGAACCATGTCACCTATGTGCTGTGAAAGTATGGGCATACACACGATAGAGCAGAAGTCATTAAGACTTGCTCGTAATTCTCAATTCCCTCTGGTGGGTGTTCCTGGCCAGCGTACTACACAGAAGTAATTTTAAATTCCTCTAAGTTTGGTGACCTAACATTTAGACTTTGGTATGTGTGAGCACTTTGAGCTAGGTAGTAAAACCTCAGTGATGTTTAGTAAATGCTGAATATTGGCATTGCTTTCAAAACTTAACTGCAGAACCAGAGATGCCTCGGAACCGGCGGGAGAAGAGGTGGTGGAGAGGACCAGGAAGGCCAGCGTCTCTGAGAAGAGGAGCAGCCCATCCACCTGGGACAGCACTGCAGTGTAAGAGGGCGGGAATGGAGAACACAGGGCTGGCCGCAGCCCCCAAACTGCTTTACAGAAGGGAGTGTGGACTGCTAGGACAGCAATGGAGCACTAGTTTGGGAATGGCCCACCACAGTGGCTCCCCTAACCCTGGCTTACACCGTGGGGAGCTTGACTCTGCAAGAAGGGTACAGGGTTTAGTGGGGCATGCATTTCTCCCGATTCACGAGACTCAAGGGCTGAGATTAATGTGTCACCTCAGCACTTCAGCAGGGCTAGTCCTCTCATCCTAACGGCTCCACCCTAACATGCAGTTAAGGCAGCCATGTGGGGTACTCAGTAACCAGTGCCACCAGCAAAGGAGACTCTCCAGGCTCCACACAGTGACTGCCCCTTGCCTTTGTGCTCTCCCCACAGCTGCAGCTCGGTAGCTTCCTGGGTCACTCACCTCCAGGTGTCCTGCAGAAGGGCCAACAAGGTGCTCTGGCTCTCTGTGGTCTTCATCGTACTGTTTGCAGCGCTGATGAGTTTCCTCACAGGCCAGTTCTTCCAGACGGCTGTGGAGGCTGCACCCACACAGGAAGGAACCTCCTGGATGTCTCTAGAACACGTGTTATGGCCCCTTACCAGACTCAGGCACAATGGGCCCCCGCCGGTGTGACTGTAGCACAGTCGAGTGACCCATTCTGATTTAACATTTCCCTCTGAGATTCATTAGTAACTTTCTAGTAATTACAGTGCAAAGCCAGGTTCTCAGAGCAGCTGAGATATTTTAATTCCCCAGCAATAGCAGAGGGAGGGGACCCCACCTCGGGTATTTTAATGAGCTTTCTGAGAGAGACATCGTATTTTATTGAAATGTACCATAATAAAGAGCCATTCAAATCTTTGTGCAGTGAAGCCTGAATAGAGTTTTCTCGGGTCATTTGTGACATCAACCACCTGGAGAGATGCCTGGTTGCTCCGGGGCCTGAAGGTCCCGCCAGCTCTCACCCAGGCTGTGAAGACTACGAGTAGCTGAGGACCCGGATGGACAGCAGCATATGGCACACCGAGTCGATGAAGAGGCTGTCTGAAGACCTCACCCTCTCCATTGCCCTTGGGGAGGCAAAGTCCTTCACCATGTGGTACAAGGTAGAGTGGAACTCAGTGTTGTCCTTGAGGGCCTCAGAGAACACATCGCTGTCTTCTCTGATCCTGAGAATCTGTGCTCTGTCACCGCTGAACATGAGGAGGGACCAGGGACGGTTCTCTGCACCTTCCGCCTGGTACTCCTTCACCTGAAAAGATGCCAAAACACACACAAGGGAAGGAGCTGCTGAGGACCCAAACCACCCAGCTTAAAGGTGGTCTCACTATGTAGACCAGGCTAGCTCGGCCTCCCGTGTGCTGAGCATAAGGGTGTGTGCCTCCGTGCACAGCTCAGACACTCTGCCTCTCCCATTTCTGAGCTGTTTTAAATCCGACGCTCCATGCACTTTGGAATTTATGGAGCATCTGCCCATGTACCCATGGGACACATGTTCCCCAGGTACTGCTCTAGAAGCCGAGGGAACAGCAGGATACCCCGCCCAGACACAGACTGCACCCTTCAGACCCAGCTCTCCGAGGAGGAGGCAAAAGGAGAAAGGAACAAAGTAGCTCCTTTATAGAGACATCCACGGCCAAGCCTTGTGGTGGAGAGGGGGCAGGTGGGTAACAGCTCGGTGACGGAGCCACATGTCTGAGTCCTTGGCCTTCAGTCTAGCTGGTGGAAAACTTCCATCAACCTTGAGTCTGGCTGAAAACTTTTCTATGCGTGGAGCTTAATGTGTCAGGAGTTACACTGCAGGCTTGACCTCCACAAAGGCTGTGAACCACAGATGCCTGCACACATGATTTCCACCTTTGTTCTGGTGTCAACACAGATGTAAGGTCACGGCACATGGTGCCACAGTGGGTAAAGAAGGCACAGTCCTTCAGTGGTCGAGCCAGAACTCAGAATTTCACAGCACCACTCTGAATGCCAGGGTCACAGCTGCCAGCCTGTTTCCTCTTTGGAAGACAAGGTAGCATACTGTACCTTAATCACGACATTGGTGGAGTTGCATGCCATGTTCCACTTGCTCCAGCGAAACACGAAGGCGGAGCTCAGCAGGGCTATTTGCCGATAGGCCTTCACTTCCACCAGGGGGACCTGTGTGGAGGGCACAGTGTAGTCATCATTCTTAGTGTCCCGACCAGCCGCCTCTGCGGTCCACACCCCCCTTCCCCCCCCCCCCCCCCCTCTGCGGTCCCCCCCCCCCTTCCCCCCCCCCCCCCCCCTCTGCGGTCCCCCCCCCCCTTCCCCCCCCCCCCCCCCCTCTGCGGTCCCCCCCCCCCTTCCCCCCCCCCCCCCCCCTCTGCGGTCCCCCCCCCCCTTCCCCCCCCCCCCCCCCCTCCCCCCCCCCCCCCCCCAGCTTCCAATCTTAACTCAGATTCTGTGACTCCACACTACCTAAAGTGAGCAGTGGCCACAAAGCCCTCTGTGAGCTGTCCCCAACACTGTGCCCTTCCTAGTCTCAGGTTGCAGGCTCCCCGGCCTCCTGTTCTGCAGCCAGGCTGCTGGTGGGGGTGGGGGGGTGCTGGCTGCAGCTGGGCTTTCTACCTAGAAAGAACCCCCCACCACACACACACACACAGCAGACACCCTTCACGTTGCCTGTTGTGTTGTCTTTTTTTCTATGGCACCTTTAATGTTTCTAATGTGCAAGACCACTCCAATTAAGCTTTCTTCTCTGCTAGAATGTCGGCTCCCGTGGCAGGGACTGTTCCACAGACAGGAGCAGGTGGTGAGTCACTGAAACCAACTTGTTCTGCCTATGCATCTGTCCATACCCTACGGTACATGAGTGACAGGTGTCACACCAGCCAGTGGCAGACCTGTCTTCCAGCACAGAACGCTTCCTCTGTAAACACGCCGTCCGTGGTCAGAGCACCCTTGGCGGCTTCATGAATGACAGAGTGTTACCAAGCGCTGTCATTGAGCACCGGGCTGGCTGCTGGAACAGTCTAAGGGCCTGTTCTCGGAGCCGCAGACTCTCAGGGAGGGAGAGCTGCATGCACCCCACCCCTGTGAGGATCACAGAACAGCACACAGACATGGGGCTGTGCTGAGAAATGTGGAGGAAATTTTTACAGGCTAGGCTTGTGGAGAAGGGCGAAAAAACCAAATGAACAGTAGGTAGCTGGGGCTGCTCTAGCTACAGGTGGCCATGTAGATGCCTGATCTACTTACCACATTCTAACTCTACAGGGGATTCTTAAGCTGGAGGAAACCCTTGGTTTCTAGCCCCGCCCCCACAAAGTTTAACCTCCTCAGCACTCTGGGTCCCCGCTACATCAGACTCCTTGCCTTATTGTTGACCACAACGTAGAAGTGTGAGTACAGGGCCGGGAAGATATTCAGCCCTGCTTCCTTCAGAGCCAGGATGAAGGGCACGGGGGTCATCCATCTCCCTTCTAAATGACACTGATGCTCTTGCCCCTTCAGTTTGACTGACGCTAACATGCAGAGGTTTTCCTAAATTTCGGGAAAAGAAAAGAAATGAGCCAGTATCATTCCAGGTCTTCCCTCCTCACTCCTTGCGTTAATTCTGAAATCATTTGCCACTCTGCAGTTTCATAACTTGGCTGGTGTGTCCTGGGCCTGATCCGGGGAAGCCCTGCCACAGGGTCCCATCATCGCCTTGGGCAGCTCACTAACTTCCTGGGCTCCCTCTGGGCACTTGAGGGATTAGAAATGGTGTCTCAGATAGGTTTATAAAATGGGAGAGCACTCCATGTTCACTCTGAATTAAAGCAGCCGTTAAACAGTCATGATTGCATTGTTAGAGCTTAATTTTTAACATCTGTGAGATTTAACATGCTGTAAACTGTCCAGTTTTGAAGGGTAAAAAGTTTGTACTTGTGTATTCTATAGCCAAAAGATCTCAGTATCCATTCAGTTTAAAAATGAAGTCAGTCGATGGTTTTCACACCAAATGCTCAAAATCTAACTCGTATTTCGCAGTTGCAGTGTTCATCAGTTTGGACCAGCTGCTTCTTATGTAGGAGCTTAATTGCCACATGGATGGGAACAACCTGAAGGCACTCTCTACTGAAGGCACTCTCTACTGAAACACAAACACACACACAGCAGGGGCTCTCTTCTGGGCCTCAGATTAGGCACAAACCACATCTAAGTTAAAGCAGCTGCTTTCTGACTCAGGCAGAAAAACAGCAGCTAATGCCCTTGCAGTTCTAATTTTTGAAGAGGAGAAAAAGGCATAGTCTGTATTAGGATGGGCTGGGCTGTGGCAGGGCATTTCCATTAGGGATGTTAATTAGGTGAATCAAAGCAAAGGGGGCTTTGGAGTGCTGGACTTCAAGGCCTCAGGAGGAGGAAGGGGCCAAATAAGGGGACAGACGTTGGTGACTAGCTTTAGGATTGTAATCTAATGGTGTTCAGCAAAGCAGAGGGAATGGAGGAGAAGGGCAAGCCAGAGCCACGCCTGCCACACACGAGCTGGTCATGGTCCTTTCCTCTACAACCTGCACGTTCATAAAGGAACACTCCGCAGGTGTCAGCCTCTGTCCATCAGACTAGAGTCATGCACTGGGATAGGATGGTTGGGAGCCTGGCAGGGCGGCGGGCGGGGCAATACCTTGTATACTCTCAGGAAAGCCAATGATCTAGCAGACTGAGGGCAGGCTGCCAGTGTTTTAAGGGCCTGAGAAGTCACCCAATGAACCCACAGAGGCTTTGTTTTGTTTGCTTGCTTGCTTGCTTGTTTGAGACAAGGCTCACAGTGTGGGTCTTGCTGGCTGGAACCTCTGAACCCAGTGCTGTGATTAAAGGTGTCTGCCACCATGCCTGTCCCACCTGGGCTTGAAGTCTGATGGTCTGTTAGTATTTCTACTGTATTCAGAAGTGTAACAACTCTTCTTAAAACAGCTTCATCTGTGTATCACAGACTCACCAGTGATTCTCAGAAACTGGAGGGTGACACCCTCACCATGTATACTTTAAAACATCTCTATGCGACCCAGGAAAGCCCCATCAGCTGCTATACAGTGAGTCTTCTGGCCCTGCCCTCAGGCTACGGCATGAGTCCACGCCTCTGGGGCTTGCAAGGCTGTGTACTTCCTGAGGGGCAGTAGTTCCACTCAGCAAGACAAGCCCTAGAGAATCTCCTGAGACAAGGATGACGAAGCCACACCCAGATGAGGCTTGCTGGGATAACTGCCCCCCCCCAACCCCTAGTGACAGGGAAACAAGTCAGAGCCTCTACCTTACACATGGTAGCTTGTCTACTCCATGAACTTAGAAATATACTCCAGGACATTTTACACGTGTGCTTGTACTGAACCCATAGGCCGGCTCTGAAGTCACCCACCTTGATGTGTATCTGGAGTTCAATAAACAACGTAGTCACAGTCAGGACAACTCTGTTTACATCAAGGGGGCACAGTTCCCAGGACTGGTATGGCATGTTGATATGGGCATCTTGAATCAAGGCCACAGGTCCCAAAGTGTCCAAATTGAAGGTTAGGAGCCTGTTTTCTCGATCGTAATACACACAGCTGATGCCGTCTGTTTTCCAGCGTTTACCTAGAGAAGATGGTGACATTAGTTTCATGTCTTTCCTATAGAAATGAGTAAAAATGTACTATGTGCACTGTCTTCTGTATTAAGACTCTCAAGGAAACCCCGCCCACCCCTCTGCTGGGAGAGCCTCCAGGGTCCCGTCCAAACTCAAGGGAGCTCTGTGTGACCAAGACGGGAGACAGAGCTCACTCTCTGCCTCTCGCCCTTGCCATCTTGCACACCTGTTGTCAGCCCCTCCTCTCCTGCCTGTGCCCGTGAGCAGGCCACCATTCTTCCCTTGCCCTACGCAGAGACTCTTTACCTGTTTATTTTTCAGTACATGGTTTCTTTGTCCTGGAACTCACAGAGATCCGCCTGCCTCTGCCTCCCGAGTGCTGGGATTAAAGGCGTGTGCCATGAATGCCAGGCTCTTGGCTCTGTTTTATTTTTTTTAAGGTTTCTTTTTTGTTTAGGGTTATACTTTCAGAGATCATTTCCAAGTTTGTTATTCATTTCTTTGTGTACTTTGCCTACATTTATGTATGAGTGCCAACTCCACGCAGTGCCCACAGCAGCAGCAGAGGACACCAGTTCCCATGGAACTGAAGTTACCGATGGCTGTGAGTGGCCATATAGGTGCTCAGAACATAACCAGGACCTCTGAAAAAGTGGCAAGTACTGGTAACCACTCAGTCATCTCTCCAGCCCTTTTGCTTCTGTTTTAAATTGGCTGTAAAACTGTCCTGTTTATAAGCATACAATCTTGCTCCGAAGAAACGGATGCAGCTGTGCAGCCATGTCCCTGATGCAATGGGTACAATTCTAACAATGAAAGGATGTTCACCATTGGCCATTGTTCAGGACCACGTCACGCACACTAGACAGGCGACCACAAGTGTCAGCAGGGGTGTGTGATATGAACAGAACTTGAAAACAGTACAGCCAAGTTGAGAAATAGGCTAATAATCTCTCAAGGTAATATTCACATGCCACTTGGCTGCAAGTAGAGATCAGAGGACAACTTCAGGTGTTGGTCCTCAACTGTCACCTTACTTGAGGCAGAGTCCCTCATTGTCAGCTATGCAGGCCAGGCTGACTAGCCGGTGAGATTTTGGGGTTCTCTGGTCTCACTGGAGCTGATGAGGGGCTAGACATGCCTGCTACAGTGCCTGGCTTTTTCATGGGCTCTGGAGACTCAAACACGGGTCCTCACGCCAGCATAGCCAGTGCTATACCCACTAACCCTTCTCTCTAGTTTGGTGTGGAACATCTTAGATGACATAAATAATTAGAGGAGTCGCTCTTAAAGGGACTCTTCTGGGCCGGCCTGATAAGGGGCTTGCTAGCAAGTCTGGCAATGTGAGCTTAGATCTCTGGACTCCACCGGGTGGAAGGAGAGAACTGATTCCTGCAAGTTGTGATGTGGCCTCCATGGACGCTGTGGCACAACATCCCCTCCACCATCACCAACAATAACAAGTGTCAAATACACTTCAAGTCCCAAGGTGGGACTTCAGAGGGCATAACGCCACCCAGCGCTCAGGACGTGGGCTCCATCCCAGTCCTTGGCAGGTAGAAGCAGGAAGGTAAGAAGTCTGGGGCCATCCTTGATTATACCTTGAGTTGGAGACCAGTCCATGGAAGAGAGAGAGGGAGGTAGGGGAGGAGGGAGGGGAGGGAGGGAGCAGGGAGGACGGGAGCACCACCTGCTGTGATCCCTTGCCGCTGCCCTTCTTGGTGCCTGGCTGTACCTTCCGTGTCCCACCTTATGACCTTGGGGTCTTCAAAGAAGATCACATCCTTGTGGACCTCCAGGGTGACCTCTATGGGTGGAAAGGCATTTTCTGGATCGGGTTCGTCTGTGGTTTCTGGAGGATATGTAAACCTCTGTAATCCTTCTTGGCGTATCTTTTGAAAGTGACCAGAATAATGAAAATTAGAAGGTGGTGGCAACAGCCAGATACACCTATTACTAACCAGCCCTGCTTGCTGTCACACACATCTACAGACGGAGAGGGAGACGTCAGAACAAAACTCAGGTAAATGTTTAAGGGGAAAACATGGCCAAACTTAGCCATAACCACAGAGCTTCCTGTAGGCCAGGCTCCAGGATGTGTTCTTTACCATCTACATCTCAAGCCCTATGACGAGCCTGCATCCACGGAGCCGATTACCAAGACACAAGAGAAATCAGGAGACCTGCGGAAGACTACAAGAAGACTACAAGTTCACACCGACACTCAAACATCCAGAATAGAAGTATGGGTGACCTAGGAGCAGCACAGGGGGGGACTGGGTGTGATGGTCCAAGCTGACAGCAGATTCTGAGGCAAGGCAGGGCTGTGAACCATTTGAATTAACAGGGAGAGAAGGTGCCAGGGGAAGAGGAAGGTATTAGAAAATCCGGATGATATTCTCATGGCATAGGTGCAAAGGAAAAGAGCCTTGAAGTCCAGAGAGCACACATTGCCAGGTGTGCAGGAGAATTCTGTGGACTTCAACGCTAGATGCAAAGAGGTGCAGCAGAACACGGACAAAATTCAACAACAGATTTTGAGTGAATTCTTGGAAAACCCATCTCAGGCTGGGCCTTCCTGTGGACAGAGTTCTGAAGGCCTGCCTTCACTGAGGGATGGCTTTTTCTAGGCAAGCACTCTGCCACTGAACTACACCACCAGCCCCAAAGGGATGTTGTCTTAGTTTGCCCACCCAAGTGCCCTGTTTTGTGTGCTCCTGTCTGGATTCTTTGGAGTGTGTGCAGACCATATTATCTCCCTTCGATCTGCTCATGTTTCATGCAAAGAAAGTGAAATGCCTGATCAAAATCAGCTGGGCAAAGTATCATGGGCAAAACCCAGGTGTACATACAGCAATCAGCCAGTGCGTGGCACACCTGCGCTCTTAAAATCTCGCTGGGAAAGACCAGGGAAAGGTCTGTACGGGCCTGGAAGTTCTCTCAGAACACAGGCATGGCACCTGCCCAGCCAAATCTGCCAAGTGATGCTGAACTGACAAGTGGAAGGTGACTTGTTTTGTGGGGTGGGGTTTGGATACTGGGCCTTGCTCAAACTCAAGCCTTTGATTTAAGATTTTGGCATAATTTTTTGAAACATTCTGGGAAGGGCTGTACAAGCAGTCAGTTGGCCTGGCATAGGTAAGGACTCATCTTCCTTCCCAGGTATTGGGAATGGGATATGGCATTAAACAAACAAAAAACACTCTTTAAAATAAAGTTTTGTTTCCCAGATATCAGAAATATTTTTCATTTAGAGCTATGTACTTAGCTTAGCACAATTTATGGTTCAGGAGACCATAGGGGGGGTCAGTTAGCACATGCACACAAGAAAAATAACGCCAGCTCACTAAAAGGTAAAATAAGCAAACAACAACAGTGCCCACTTGTAAACTCAGCACTTGGGATGCTGAGACCGAGGGACCACCACAAAGCCCTGGGCTATAAAATAGGCTGCAGCCAGGGCTTCATAATGAAACCTCATCTCAAAAAACAAAGCAAACAAAAGCTCTGTGGAGGTCACACACCAGGTCCTTCCAGGAGGGGCTGTGCGAGATGGGGAGCTCTGATAGAGCCAGCACAGGGTGACTCCAGGAAACCTGGAGATTCCTGTCTGATAGAGCCAGCACAGGGTGACTCCAGGAAACCTGGAGATTCCTGTCACCGGTCCTTGGGGTGCTGTTTGCAGGCAGTCTCAGATGCCACTGAACCCTGGCTTTCAGATGCAAGTAAGGGTGTTGCTGAATGCTGATTCCGTGGATCTGAGACCACCAACCACAATGACATCTACAGGCATCCCCAGGGGCTGCTATGTGTCAAAACTGTTCATGGATGTTCTCTACACAGGGTCACACGGGTGCTGTCTACTCTTCAGGGTGTGTGCTGTGAAAACCACCTTCTGGGTTTTTGGCGGTTCTGAGGGTCAGGGTCAAAGTGTCATCCATGCCAGGCAGGAGTATATTCTACCACTGCGCTGGACCCTTAGCCTAGGAGTTTCTGATTTAATGGGTGTCACATGGGACTTATGCACTTGCCTTTCTAGAAAATTCCCCAGTGGTCACAGAGGTCGTTGAAGCTTCTGGAAGCATAAATCTAGAGCAGAACTGGCCAGATCTGACCCCTGGGACGTCCCCGGCACTGATCTTCACAAGCAGATCTGAACTAGAACACAGGGGTGCCCACGCTTTCCTACAGAGGCCTTGGTGCCCAAGAGAAGGGCTGTGGGGTTCTCAGAGTCAGGGCAGCCCACCAAGGTGAAAATGGTTACCACCTGGCCATTAACAGGAAAAAAGTTTGCCAAGCTCTGATGTAGACTAGCAGTATTAAGGATCAACTAGCACTCTTGGGCATTAGTATTGTACATTTACAATTAAATTAACAGGTAAGAATTTCTCCAGAAGTGGGACTAACGTGCATGAGATACCAAGACCATGGGAAGTGAAGAAAGACAATGTCACCTGCAGTTTATAAAGAGGTGTGTGTCTCCCTACCTCTACTAGCACCCAGCCCTTCACTGGTTTGTACTGAGGGGGCAGCTCCAGGATATCCAGGTGGTACACTCCGCCCAGGGTGGAAAAATGACACAAATCCACCTGGAATTTTTCAAAGGCATATGGAATATCCACGATGTTCTCTACCAGGTGCAGCTGTGCTAAAAGAACCACAGTTAGTACAGTTTCAGAACAGACTGGAACATTTCCTGTCAGGAGGGAAATGAAAGCAAAATCCCAGGACTACTAAGGAGAAGGTTTGTCTTTGGGTACTACACCTCATGCAAGGTTCTTCAAGTGTTTCATAAACCAGCCTTGAGGGGAGAGGGTGTGTGTGTGTGTGTGTGTGTGTGTACACGTGTTTGTGCATGTGAGTGTGCGCATGTATGTGTGGGTATATGTGTGAGCATGTGTGCACACACACTCAAGCTGTGAGGGTAGGAAGGGCTGTTTGCAGTGCACACTAGCATTGTAGGAGTCTACAAATAATAAGCAGGTATTACTGGTAAAACAGATTTCATAAAGACAGAAACAGTTTGATCAAAACTTGATAATTACTAGACTACACCCTTAAAATTGGACATCATCTGACCAAAGCTCCAAAGACGGGTGGGAAGTTCATGGTGGAAAAGTAGATTTTGGCCCATGTATCAAATGAAAAAAAAAAAAAAAAAAAAGGTTATTTTCACAAAAACAGTCCCCACTCCCAGTAAACCCAGGGAAGCGGGATCCTATGATCTAGCAGTCTGAGTACACAGCGAGAAATGACAATTTTGGACACTAACACAGGGGCCATTTTCATCTCTCACCTTTCACCCCAAGACAAGACAGCCACTGGCAAACATCACCCTTAGCTGTGGCCGGACTTCTTCTCTGCAGACTGACACAGGTGTGGTGGTGTATGCCTCTGTCCCCGTTCTTAGGAGGTATGGTCAGGAGGAGGGTCCACATGGTGAGGGCTGGGCTAGCCAGGGCTAGGTAATGTGACCCTGCCCCTCCCCTCAAAGCTAGCTAATGTATCCAGCCTGAGTCTCTTCAACCATAAAATCCACATAGTGTTAGTACTGTGTTGTAGAATTTGGCAGGAGAACAGGTGGGCACCTGTAGAGCTAGCTGGCAGGCAGCGAGACACAGGGACTATAGTGGCATTGCTCCCATGAAAGACACACAGTAGGGGGTCCACCTGTCTTTCATGAATGTTAAACTTCACTCTTTAACTTTCTTTTCTTTTTCTTTCTTTCTTTTTGAGACAGGGTTTCTCTGTGTAGCCCTGGCTGTCCTGGAACTCACTACGTGGACCAGGTTGGCCTCCAACTCAAGAGATCTGCCTGACCCTGCCTCCTAATTGCTAGGACTAAAGACCTGTGCCACCACCAACCAGCTAACTTTCAAATGTATTTAATTTATAATTTATTGGCCTAAAAAGAAGCCAGAAATACTGCTATACTCCAACTGAGACAGTGATGACGTCTCTGGCTGGGGTCACCTTGGAGGGAATTGTGGTGCCGATGACAGGCGTCCCACAGCCTTCTCTAGCATCAAAGGCTGACAGGTAGGGTGCATGCCTAGACAGCACCAGGCCTTCCGTGGGGTCGCGCCTCGGCACCACAAAAAGCTTGCTTGTGAGCCCAGCCTCTGGGAGGTGGAACCAGGTGGATCAAAAGTCCAGGGTCACCCTAAGCTACACAGGGTTTTAGACCAGCCTGGACAACATGAGACCCTGCCTCAGAATATTAAATAACTGAATGAAACACAAAACTTTAAAGTGTGTTTGGAAAGGTAAGGAGGCAGAGGTTTCTTATGACAACATGCTTGAAAGAAGACAGAACAGATTCCTTCGACGTCGTTGAGAAAGGAGCAGTGAGAGTTAAGAGGACAGACATCACGGGACAGAAGCCAGGCATGGGATCACCTTCACCTTTCCACGTGCATGCGGCGTAGGCTACTGTGAAGGGCTCAGGCATGTGCGCCCGTAAGTGTGCTTGTGAGTGTGCACTGCAACAGTGAGTGGAGAAGAACTCAGGTGTCATTTCACTGGCAGCAGGGATTTAGACCACACACCCCTGTGTCCTGGGATGAGTGCTGACTATCACTTGTCCAGGACATATAGTATTCCTAAGCACATAACTTAATACTGAGTAGAAAACAAGATCCGTCATAGAAGTGTTTTGACCTCTGATTTGACCTCACAGTTTCTTTAAAATCGAAGAGTTACACAGTGAGAGACAACAGACAAAGACGGTGAACATTGCTTATCGTGGAGAGGGACTGCCAAGGAGTTCTGCTTTGAACATATTTCTTTCTGCAAGGGCCTTGCGTTCCTTTCCTAAAGAGAACGCCTCCATTCCACACACAGGATGCCGTGAGACTACCTGCTGAGACAGCTTCACTTAGCAACCGCATCTCCAGTTCGTATTTGTTGGTTTCCGAGTTTTCATCCTCATGGTCAGAAGTCTGCAACAAAAGAAAAGGCTGCCGTGAGCATCAGCGTCCATGGAAATTATTCTGTGAGTGGAAAAGGAAGATGTAGGCCCATGAAACAGCCTGCATTTAGGGCATGTTCTGGCATTACATCGGGTAAACATGAAATCTACAAAGTGAGCACACTAAAAATCTATCATCAAAGGTGGGCATGGCAGCGGTGCACAACTTTAATCCCAGCACTCTGGAGGCAGAGACAGGCGGATCTCTGTGAGTTCTGGGCCAGCCTAGTCTACAGAGTTAGTTCCAGGGCAGTTATGGCTAGATCGGAGTGAGACCCTTTCTCAAAAACCAAATCAAGCCAAACCAAACCAACAGCAAAACCATTCAACATTAGCACTTTCTAGCATTTAGCCTAAATGTTGTCATTTCAGGGAAAAACTATGCTGTTTTGATTTGATACATATCTTGTCTCTTAACCCTCGCATGGGGTCTCTTCAATATACATACTGGTATATATCCAGAAAGCTGGCTGATGAGAAAGTACTTCTTTGTATGTTTATCTTATTGATTATTAAATAAAATACTGTTTGGCCAATGAGACAGCAAGTAGACGGGACTAGGAGTCAAAGAGGATTCTGGTAAATGTAATAGAGAAGTGCTGATCCAGGCAGGAAGTGACATAGCAAGGAGACTCATATTGAAGGGAAGGAGAAACAGGAAGGGCCCCTTTTTCCCCTCTGCTCCTGCTCCAGCAGCACAATATGATCCACCAGCAAGGAGGGACTGGCGTCCAATAAGGTGTCCAATAAGATAAGTCTTATAAAATATATAGATTTATGATAATTAAGACTGAGCTAACAGATGAGAATCCTAGTCATTGGCCAAGCAGCTTTGAACCTAATACAAGTTTCTATGTATTCATTTGGGCCTAACTCGGGCTGGCGGCTGGCATAAAGCTCACAGGTGGCGGTGGGGCTCGGGTGGCTTTTGGCAGAAAGATTTATCATAACAGAATGGTGTCAGGGAGCGGGATCACCCCATGCCCCAAGGTTCCCAGAGAATGAGGTAAACCTGTGGCCACAACCTGCCCTGTCAGGCCACTGAGAGGCATCAGAACAGCTTCCATATGCTCGTGCCGTCCTGGTGTTTCTGGGGTTTAGACTCAGCATTTCTGAGATGATAAAGAAAAACCTCTAAAGGTTTACACTGCATTTAAAAATATATGTAGGCTTATGAGAGAAGGAAGCAGAGGCAGGGGGGTTTCCACAGAGAAACCCTGTCTTTGGGGAAAAAGAAACAAAAGAAAGTAAAAATAAAGTAATAAAAAGCCACATAGAGATAAAAAAAATACACAGAGAATCTAGATACTTTATGCCATATTGTTGTCTTTAAATTCTTTGATTGCCGAGGAAAGAGTTACTGCTGCTAAAATACATTTGATTATAAATGCTGCTAAATTAATCCAACTTATACATTTTTAAAATGCTTTGACTTCAAAATTTAAGTCTAAGGACAGGCTACTTAGAAATAAAGGTTTTACTTGTATTTCCACAGAAAATCAAAAGCTGTTGATTCCTTCCAGACTAATATGGTTTGATCAAGCAAGACCCCCTGAAGCTGAGA